ATCACTGCCCTACTTTTTCGCCAAGGCATCGCCATCGCTCGCGGCATCGTCAGCTTAGTGGATGGGCGCGCAGAGGTGCTTCTGACCAACTTCACGAATGAGCGCCGGCACATCGGTAAAGGCACGGCTGTGGCGTACCTCGAAGAGCTCGACTACTCTCACGACTGTCTTCTAATGCAAGGGGAAGCCACAGCTCAATCACCTCCACATACACCACCAGTTGATATCGGTCCGAGTCTAACACCGACTGAAAGATGCCGTCTCATGGAGCTGCTCGACCAGTTCAAGGACTGCTTCTCATCGACATCACGAGTGGGTCGAACGCCTCTGACTAAGCATCCATCATTACGGAAGACACAGCAAGACCGATCCGACAGAACCCATATCGCGTTGCTCAGAAAGAACGTGAGGTAATCCAGCAGCAAGTCAAGAAGATGCTAGAGGATGATGTAATCCAACCATCGAAGAGTCCTTGGGCATCGCCAGTGGTTCTCGTGAAAAAGAAAGATGGCAGCTTGCGTTTCTGCATCGATTATCGTAAGCTGAACCATGTTACAAAAAAAGACGTTTATCCATTACCACGGATTGATGACTCTTTGGACAGGCTACGGCATGCGCGCTACTTCTCGTCAATGGACCTTAAAAGTGGATACTGGCAAATAGAAGTAGATGAGCGCGACCGAGAAAAGACCGCATTCGTGACGCCAGACGGGCTTTATGAATTCAAAGTCCTCCCTTTCGGTCTATGCTCAGCCCCAGCCACGTTTCAGAGACTAATGGATACCATTCTGTCCGGCCTGAAATGGAAAACATGCCTTGTGTACCTCGACGACGTGATCGTTTTTTCGGCCACGTTTGAAGAGCATCTAAAGCGGCTACTGTCAGTCCTTCAAGCCATACGGTCCGCTGGACTCACACTGAAACCGGAAAAATGCCACTTCGGCTTCGAAGAACTCCAGTTCCTGGGACACGTGATCAGTCGCGAAGGTGTGAAGCCTGACCCAGATAAAACGGCAGCCGTCGCAAAGTTCGCAAGGCCTGTTGATAAGAAAGCGGTCAGGCGTTTTCTGGGTCTCTGCGCCTACTACCGGCGATTTATAGCAGGCTTTGCACACATCGCCTCTCCACTCACCCGCCTTACAAGGGAAGACATTGCATTTGTATGGGGTAAGAGCAAGAAGCTTCGTTCAACGAGCTGCGACAGCGTCTACAAACTCCACCTGTCCTCGCTCACTTCGACGAGAATGCACCAACAGCCATCCATACAGACGCCAGCAATGTGGGCCTAGGTGCTGTTCTTGTCCAATGCCAAGATGGTATGGAGAGAGTGGTCGCCTACGCTAGCAGAACGTTGACACGTGCCGAGTCTAACTACTCAACAACGGAGAAGGAGTGTCTGGCCGTCGTCTGGGCAGTTGCGAAGTTCCGCCCGTACTTATATGGCCGCGCCTTCCAAGTCGTAAGCGACCATCATTCTCTTTGTTGGTTGACCAACATGAAAGACCCATCTGGACGTTTAGCACGATGGAGCTTACGGCTCCAAGAGTACGACATGGCCGTAGTTTACAAGTCCGGAAGGCAACACTTAGACGCCGACTGTTTGTCAAGGTCTCCGATTGAATCACCGGCTATAGAGGATGATGATTTCCCAGGTTTTTTAGGAGTTGTCGATGCAGCTATCATTTCTCGGCAACAACAAGATGATCGGGAGCTCAACTCGCTTATAGAATTCTTGAACGGACGGGCCGCCAATGCACCAAGAGTGTTTTCGAAGAACTTATCGTCATTCTGTTTACGGGACGGAATTCTGTACAAAAAGAACTTTTCATCAACAGGTAGAAGCTATCTGCTGGTAGTTCCTGGAGCTCTCCGCAGCGAAATATTACAAGCCTGCCATGACGAAGCCACTGCGGGCCACCTCGGTTTCACAAGAACACTGACACGCATCAAAGAAAAATATTACTGGCCAAGAATCGCAGCAGAGGTTAAAAATTACGTCCGAACATGCATTGATTGTCAGCGGCGCAAGGTACCACCTGTCAAACCCGCTGGGCTACTACATCCTGTGCCCGTGCCAGAAACGCCGTTTTCTCAAATCGGAATGGATCTGCTGGGCCCATTCCCAACATCGGACAGCGGCAACAAATGGGTTATAGTAGCGACGGACTACCTCACCCGATACGCGGAGACCAAGGCAATCGCGAGTGGCACTGCAGCTGAAGCGGCCCAGTTCTTCATTGAGAACATTGTCCTGAGACATGGTGCTCCAGCTGTCGTCATAACAGACAAAGGCACCGCGTTTACAGCCGAGCTTTTGCGCACTGTGCTTACGCTCAGTGGCACAGCGCATAGGAAGACGACTGCTTACCACCCACAAACAAATGGGCTCACAGAACGACTTAACAGGACAATCGCTGACATGCTTTGCATGTACGTCGACGTGGAACACAAGAATTGGGACCGCATATTGCCGTACATCACATTCGCGTATAATACGGCGCGCCAGGAAACAACAAAAATGACGCCGTTCGCGCTAATTCATGGCAGAGAAGTTACGACAATGCTTGACGCCATGCTGCCTTACGATTGCAATGATTCAGAGACAGACGCCGCAGACTTCACTGAGCGCGCCGAGGAAGCAAGGCAGCTTGCCCGCGTCAGAATAATGAACCAGCAGCAACTTGACGCCCAACGGTACAACCTTCGCCATCGATTCGTCATTTATCAACCAGGAGATAGAGTCTGGGTTTGGTTTCCTGTACGACGAAGAGGCCTCTCAGAGAAACTCCTACGCCGATACTTCGGACCCTACAAGGTTTTGCGCCGTCTTAGCGACGTGACTTACGAAGTCGTGCCCGACGCCTCCTCCTGTTCGAAACGTCGCCAGCATCTGCCTGAGACAGTGCACGTGGTCCGCATGAAACTTTACCACTCTCAGTGATGTAAACACCCGCTGGCTGCATCTCTACCTGTTGAGCATCGGGACGACGCTCATTCTGGCGGGAGGGTAATGCCGCGTGCATAGCTGCATTTAGCGGCGAGATAGCAACGACAACGAAGAAGGTGGTTTTGCTCGAGAGGGGCAGCGCAGGCAAGTGAAGAAGACGACGATCATAGCGGCCTTCTCTGAGAGCGTCTCTATAAGTTCCACTGTCCGTGTTTTTAAATAAACCCTCTGTAATTTATAACCAGCGACAATATATATATATATATATTTAACCACTTATACAAATTATAGTTTTCAATAGTTTCTTTTTCAGGCAGAAAATGACTGCAGAAATGACCAGGTAATAGGGCACTATAAAGAAAGCCAGCAACCCTGGGCAGTGATGAGCAGCTCCAGAAGATTAGTCAGCTATTTAAACCCAAAGCTTGTTGCCGCAGTGCAGCACATTGCAAAACACATTTGTGATAGAAGTCTCACAGTTTTGATCACTCTAGCTGGGAATTTAATGGTACTTCTGTATATTGGTTTGAAAAGTTGGGAAAATGTGTGTGCATGGCAGATTCTATTAGGCAATGGATGCTGGAATGGAATGTATAGTTAATTCTCAACGTTGCCACTGTCTTTTGTGTGTGTAGTTTGTTATGAAACTGAGACTGGGTCTTTGTATTCATGCTCTACTGCCATTAGGATAGGCGTTGGTCATAATGGAATGGGTAGTGACATCTCTTTCTCAGAGTACAGCAAATTGCTGGTCATATCTTTACCAACATGCCATCATCACCTTCGTAATTTATCACCTTACTCAAACATGTCAATACTTCTCTTTCTTTGCTCTTCTCTAAATGATGCTAATATCTGCACCATCTTTCAAGGGCTTTACATAGCATTAAATTCTACAGTGTGTAGGTTATGCATTTTTTTAGCATTTCCATATCATAAGTGAACTCTTAATTACTAGGTGGCCTTGTATTTTTTTACAATATCTGCATCATTTGAGCAATGGAACATTCAAGTGTATTCATGTCTGATGTGCCTAAAGCAACACTAGTAAGAATCCCTTTTTTTTTTCAGCTTGATTTCATCACTTTAGCCATTGTGTTCATTCCAAAAGTTTACTTGGACTACTTGGCTTAAAGGCCAACCGCGGCGATTTTCCTACCATGTCAGGATAATGGTTCTTTTTTGTTCCTGAGACACTCTTATCACGTGCCCGATAGCTGAAACGCTTAACAAATTTGAAAATAATTTTTAATTACTGAAAAACCACAATACCGAAATCGGAATACAACCTAGTGCGCTTCTTCGTGTGACGTAATCATTTGCCCGAACCTGCCTGATTGGGCATTATGCCCGCCAGATGGCACTACCTGTCTACACTGTCTGACGCAGTTGACTAAAACGCTTATACTGTTATGGTCAATATATGGCGAATTGTGTGTGGCTCGCAACACTACATCACTTGCCACCTATCGCACGCCCACCAGCACGGAAAAGGAAATTGTGTGCTCAACCAAGGAAGCGCCGGCCTAATCCACACGATCCATAGCAGACAAGCAGACGCTGCCGTGGCACATCAGTTTCGCCACTTTCACCAGGCAAAACTCAACGTCACATACGCAATGTTGCCATAAATTCCAGCAAGCGAGGTGAGCGTTTCGAGGCAATATATAAAATTCATATGAAAAGAATCTGCGAAACTCTCAAGCCTGAATTTTGGTATGAATGGCGCAAATGTGCAAATGAACGTACCCAGTGAATTTTATTGAGACCCATTGACCTCAACAAATCGCCGGACTTGGCCTTTAACAAATAGTCCAGTGATATTGATACCAGCACTTGAATATCTTCATATCTGTTCATTATTATTTTGGGTCAATTTTTGCTTGGTTACATTGCTAAGGTGTTTGAAACCCTGCTTTACAGGTTGTCAAGCAAAAGCCAAAGTGCATTACTGCACTTTCGTAAGTTTTGCGTGAACATAGTTTGCTGAATCAAAAATTTGTTATGACTGAACCTCATCCTTGTTGAAGCTTCTCATGGCTTTTGTTTTTAGGATTGCCATCATCGCTTGCCAAGAAATTTGTTCAAGGGACGCTCTTGACTTGGTATGTTACTTTTTGCATTTATTTTTGCATGTATATTTTACATTGACACTAAACTGGGCTTGGAGCAACTCTTTGTAAAAAATTTACCTGTCAAATTCGGTCATGGGAAGGTGTTAATTACTATTGCTAAATTTTAGAGTTTCTATTTCCGATTTTTTCCTAGAGTCTCTTTTGAGCCTATTTAACATATAAACACAAACTAAGGAATGGGAAACATTTTAATCACACATTTAATGTGCCTATAAGTGCCTATTTTGAGGTTCTTGCCTATGTAACCTTCCAGCACCTAAAAATGTGTTTTTGCTTTTGTCGAGTAAACCTTTTGCTCAAATGAGCTATTCATATGGAGGAAAACAAGAAGCACTTAGTGTGGCCCTATTAACGACAACACACGCATAGCACGCTAGTTTTTTTTTTCTTTTCGTTCATATTTTTAGCTCCTGGTAAGGTGCGATTATAGCTTGACGTAGGGTCGACGTACTGCCACAGCCAACGTAAAACTAGACTTGGCCAAAGGGCTCCAACGCATGTGACATTTGCTAACGCTTTGATAATGTAGCATAATGAACGTGCCTTTACGTCAGGGGGGGGGGGGGGGGGGCTTGTATCCCAGCGAGGCAACTCAAAGCTATAGCGTCTATAGTGGTAGTGGGCCCCCCTAAAAAATGTCTGTCGCTTGGTTCGAAAGTAGTGCGCCATGACGGTTGCGGGAGCGTGGCTAGAGTGTAGTGTAGCGAAGTGAGAAGAGGCTAACGCTAGTGTACTCCTTGCCCCTTGAATATCCACGTTGCTAGGTTCGAGAGTATAGCCCCGCCACGGTGGTCTAGTGGCTAAGGTACTCGGCTGCTGACCCGCAGGTCACGAGATCAAATGCAGTTTGCGGCGGCGGCATTTTCGATGGAGGCGGAAATGTTGTAGGCCCATTTACTCAGATTTGGGTGCGCGTTAAAGAACCCCAGGTGGTCGAAATTTCCGGAGCCCTCCACTAAGGCGTCTCTCACAGTCATATGGTGGTTTTGGGAAGTTAAACCCCAGAAATCAATCAATTAGGTTCGAGAGTATACTCAGTTTTTTCGTACGTGCAGAAAAGGTTCGCCCTGTCTCCAGTATACCGGTTCCTGACAGGGTTGCCTCAAAGCTTAAACCTCCTTTGGAACGAAGCCTGGATTATATGTGCTAAAGCAAGTGTGTAAAGTTTAGAGTGGTGCTGATTCAAATATTCCGGATGCAATTAAAGCATTGAAAGTGCTGACGCACCGCGTGTCATGGCGTCACCATGGCGCCACGATGACCGCACACATTTTGGCAATCTATGGCATCATACACCGCCGAAACCTCTAGGCCACAAGTATGCTTCACTAACTTCAGTGGACGTCGAGCATTCTTTTTCACATGAAAGCAAATACTGACTGAAAGGAAGCACAATTCAAGCCCGAAAACCTTCAGATGATGCTGGTTGTCACTGTTTTCATAGCCTTTCCCACAATGTCAAACTAGCTCAGCTTTCGCCTAAATCTGTTCAAATGAATATGCTTCTTGTTAATTCTTTTCATGAAAAAAATTAAATTTAGCATTTAAAGCACAGAATTTGCCTGCTGTGTTTGTTCGAAGGTGAATATTTGTCCTGAGCATGCTACTGAAGTAATTATGAATTCTGCCAATACATGCCTAAACGATAGTTTTTAACTCCCATTTATGGCTAAATGGCAGTTTTAGGGCCTATTATAACTGCCTAAAACATTATTTTTTCGTGCCTGTAGTTCCGGTCTCTGCTCATCACTAATAAGGTGTTCACCTTAAGGGGAGACACTGGTCTGAAAATTTTTTTTTAGTTTTCAGTATTTCCAGCTGAAATTTTTCAGTATTTTTAGTATTTTCAGTATTTCCAGCTGAAAAAAAAAAGCAAGAATAGGGTGCAAGCTTTCCCTACGTAGGTGCTTTCAGCTTATTTCATTGGGGCAGCCTTTGAGGTCATAGGCGTAGGCCCATGTGCTCAGATTTGGGTGCACGTTAAAGAACCCCAGGTGGCTGAAGTTTCCGGAGCCCTCTATTACGGCGTCTCTCATAATCATAGGTTGGTTTTGGGACGTTAAACCACACGAATCAATCAATCAATTGAGGTCATAGGCGAGTGAAATGTGGTGAAGTGACCCCACAAAAATAGAGTTGAGGGATGGAATTTTTTTTCTTGTAGTTTGAATTTTCTGTCGAATAAATTCAGACTACGTGCCATTATCACTGCTGTTCTTGCTGCATTAGTCTGTCTGTACTTTAGTCTATACACAACCAACGAATAAAACATGGGTGCTTGAAAAGTCTTAGAGGGCCCCTTTAAGGGGAGACACTGGTCTGAAATTTTTTTTTTAATTTTCAGTATTTCCAGCTGAAATTTTAATACAATATGTATTTTTCACAGCTGAAAACAAATCTGCAATTAGTTTTTTGCTATCACTTTTAGATTTTTAAATATTGACTGTTGCATAAACTTGCATTCTGCCCAGCCTTTTGACATCTTCCTCATAAAATATTGCTACGAATTTGATATGACAGCATTCCATGAAGGCCAGGGAGTGCAACAAAACCATAATTTTATTTTTAGCTTCATTGGTACCAGAGTTATGGCCTTAACAAGTATACTCATTAGAAATCTGAAACTGTTGCTTAAGGTTGTTGCTAATTAAATCACTATTGTAAATGAAAATATTACATTTTTTTACTTTCTTGCATTAATCAATGTATAAGCTTTCAAATGCTGCAAGAATTATCAAAATCCGACTGCTACATCAAAAGATACTGTGGGCAATGGCTTAGGGTGTGATGAAAAATGTTGTTTTGAGAAAACGTGAAAAGAAGTTTAGGAACATGCTGAGCACTTATATTTAACAAGAAAAGGTGTGAATCGGTGTATTAACCATGTTAGAAGCCACCAGGAATGTAGTCATCATCATTTTCCTTGGTGCGCTTTCTTTTCATGGCATGCTTGAAGTTTTCAGCATGCTCATGCTTCTTCTCCGATGCCACTAGTCGGCGACTGTCCTTTTCTGAGCATCTTTCAGCGGCCACAACACTCTGCTGCAGGTGCAGCTCCTTCAATATGGTGGCATCTGCTGTCCCTTTGCCAGCGTTGAATCTTGCGACAGCTTCGGCCACAGCAGCTTCAACGGTGAAAAGCGACGCGTGTTTGTTTTAGGACACGAGCGACGAGATGACGGAGTGCAGGCTCTCGTTTGGGTTCTGTGTTTTGTCTCGCTGACAACGCTCCAGCAATTTCTTGTCAAAGAGGCGCGTGTAAATAGGCCGCAAGGCATCAACCACATACTCCGGCAGGTTGTAGTGATGATTCGGAGGAGTCTCCTGCTTGGCAACAGCCTTGTTGTACTTGCACCATGACTCTTCACCAGTTGGGCAGTGAGAGTGCTGAGGGCGTGCATCAGTAGATGCTACGTGATAAAAGGTTGCCCAGACAGCATTATTCATGGCCTCAATGCTTCCTTGGTTGCTTTGTAAAGCCCATCCATAATATGACGTGAGCTTTGTGACCAGCTCACCTGTCAGTTTGCCCTTGCTGCCAAGGCTTGGCTTTCCTTCGGCTCTTTGCAGGAGGTTTCGAAGTGCTGTGCCCATGCGCTTATGCACATGGTTGACACAGCCCTCTTTTTCTATTGGCACAAAGCCATATACCTGTGCCTCCTGCAGACTGTTGAAGGCCCGGCTGTCTCCATCACACAACATGGTTGTGTAGCGGAGCCCATGTCTCTCCAATGAGCGGCCACATAAAATTTGTGCTGCTTCCACCTCCATTTGTCCTGGCTTACTGGAGGTATTCTTTTGGCAAGTGTGACCAGCTAGCCACTCGGCATACCTTGGGTTGTCCTCCTTCGGCCCTAGCTGGCAGCCCAAACAAAAGTTGATGGGACGACGAAGTCGAGCACATAACCCGTGGATAATTCAATCACGGTCCCTACACAAATATGCGATGAGTGGCCACTGGTCAGCCAAGTCCCATCAAAGGAAACGGCGATATTTCCAGGATTTCTATAGTTGAGTTCGGAATACACCGTTTTCACGGTGCTTGCGCAGTCGTCAATAACGCGCGCGGCAGGGTTCATTTTCAATTTCACATAATCCTGGTATGTCTTGGTGTGCAGGCCTCTCCGTGAAATATTTAGGGTGGAAAAATTATTGTTGAGCGCAGTTTGCCCATTTCCTGTGCTCATTGCCGCGCGAACCGCGAGCACGTTAATTTCGAAGGGGCCGTGCGCTGCGTCCCCCCCTGCTCTCGGCGAGCTCCATACGGTCCTCAGTTTACCGCACTCGTCACATGTGAGAACAAGTTTCGCGGCTATGCCATATTCATGGTCTTTTTTGGATATTCTGCTAGGCCCACCACACACACCGCACTTCATACACTGAAGAAGTTTGTTGACCAACTCTAAGCTAACGACGGTGAACGGCGCACCAGGCGTTGCGGCTCCATCCGAGTCTCGAAAAAAAGACCGCTTGCGTTTTGTGGCAGACTTCGATGAAAGATCTTACAGAACATCGCTCGCACGACACTCAATGGCCATTTTTTCAGCGTCGGAAACCAGGGGAGTGTCGACGCGCACAGCTCTCGTGTGATCTTGGGACGCGGCTATCGCGTCCGCGATCGCGGGTGCCGCGGCGGTGATAGCGCTGGCACAGCCTGCTTCTTCCGAGTTCTCGGCCGCAGAAGGTCTCGCTGGTGATAAGGTGCGGGTCTCGGACGTCGTTTTCGCCTTTTTCCGAACGCATGAGCACTCCGGAACTTCCGATGACCGCCTGCCATTGCACCGAATGCACAGCCGTTGTTAGGCCTCTATCCAAAATGGCGGCTTGCACACCGCTGTCTAGCAGACGAATCCCTTCACGTCCAATAGGAAACCGGGAACTGCCCCACGTGACAAAAACGCACCAATGATTTGCGAGTATTCAGTTTATTTTTATGCGTGATAGCTGCGTTGTTGCTAGATGAAAAACATTCTTCTGCTAGGAACAGATAATGGAAAAATGCGTCTTTAAAATGAGACCAAAATGGCCGCGCTACTTTGTGCGGTTCTCGCGCCCTGCGGCGTTGAATACGACCATTTTTGAGGTGGTTTCGGAAGCGAAAATGGTCATCAAACTGACTTTGCGACCCAATAACTCGACAAATACGCATTACAGGGCTATAATATTTTAGGAACAGCTTCCTTAGACCTTAATGATTATGAAAAAAAAAATACTTCAAAAAATCGGTTTTTCGGAAAATTTTCGGCCTCCCATACCCGTGTCACCCCTTAAAGGTAGTCAACTCCGTATATGTGAGAATTAAGTGGTAATGGTAATAATTTTATGCATGTAGGTAGGCAGCTGTTTCTCAATGCTATGAATTTCTTAAATTGTGGGTATTCTAAACCTGGGAATTTAACCTGGGAACACCACACTGTGTTGCGTGGTCTGCATGTCCAGGTTGTGCAAGAGCTAAATGACCCTCAGCTGAGTGCAGTAGCCTCATGGGAGCCTCATGATCGCCACTGGGATCAGGCAACACCTCTACCTGCTTCTGGACCGGTTGGCTTGGTGAGTGAAGAGCATAGATGACAACTGCTTTCATGGTGAGACTTGGCGGGTTGAAAATACGACAGGGAGAAGCAGACACAGGACGGGTGCTGAATGAAAACTGAAGTTAATTAAAAAAAAACACCTGCTTTTTATAGTTGACAATAATGTCACAACTAAACATTTAAAGATACACTCGCATGTAAATATCTGCGTGTAAAAAACAACAAAAACAAGCAAATAAAATAAAAAAGAAACAAATTAAAACAAAAATTTAACACAGATATGTAACATAAAATATTCAAGTGTATGTCACCTATACACAGCACACTGAAAATTGTCTAACAGGATTATCTAGAAGGTAAGCATATTCAGCATCTGACAAATGTAGCGAGGAGGGGCTAACACGCGTGTCATTCTCCTTCTTAATCATGGTGGCCTCAACCACAGTAAAACCTTATTAATTCAAACTCGGTGATTTTGAAATCTCACCTAATGCAAAATATTTCCGTGGTCCCATATCTTGTAATGTAAGTCTGAGCGGATAATTTGAAGCGACAGTCAGCACCAGTTGAGTTAATTTGAAAACATTGGGTGCTATATGCTAATTACTGATCCCAATTTCACTGCAAATACACGTAAACGGCGGCTCTTAAAAACCACAAGGCAATGCATTGTAGTGATAAAAATGAGTGGTAACTGAAATATTCCATCCTCGCTACTTCGAGCATAAAAAAGAGAGAAAAAAAAAACAGTCTCGCAGTCCACTAAAACGTACGCCTGTGGAAAACAAGGTGTGCTTCACTGCAACACAGCACTGAAATGCGGGCAGCATATTGCATGCTTCTTGCAATGTCAGTGCGTCATGTTTTACCGATTCTTCCTGGGAATATAAAAAAAATTAATAAAGGAGGATTGGGCAGAATTTGTAATATATGGGAACCTCCAATTGTCACTTGCTCCAGCAATTTACTTACTTGCACTGCTGCCGAAGTTCTTGTCTGTAACATTTACTTCGAAGACTAAGTTCGAAGGCGTCTATGATCATGTTTTCTAGCCATAACACATCACAAATTTTGTCACACTGTTGATTATCTCAGTAACAACTGAGACGCTTATTCGCGTTCATCAGTACCTGTGAGTACGTTTCGTGCGTCATTTATGCGTGAGAAACGCGGCGCACGTTTCGATCGGCTTGCCATTCTTCATGTGACCTTCCAATTCGTTGCTATCGTTTTCCGTGCTTCGCTTTTGTGGCAAAGGTTTGACTTTTTTTCTTTCTTTTTTTAAAATGCGGACAACATGTCGTCCTTGCCGAGGGAATGTCAGATTAAGCACAACGGTAGCGGCAGTTTTTCGTAGGTCGACTTGTCACGCGTTTCCATCTTAAACTGTGGCACGAGTTTGCAGGCTCGTAGCCTTTGCGATTAACTGATATTAACACTAGCAACAACACAATGGTGCTTTGAATGCAATACAATGAACGCGATAGCAAAAATTGTAATGTCATACGAAGTAAGGCTGGAGGGCAACTATTTTGGATCTGATATCGCTGAACTGCTTTATACAGAATGCTGGTGTGAGCAAACACAGTTGCTCCAGGGAGAAGCACTTTTTTCGCATAGTCTCGTTGTGTTGAAAGCAGACTGATGCTTGCCGAGATAGCACGTGCACCAGCGATCGCGATCGCCCTTAAAATCAAAGTTATTGTCACTACTAGAGGATCCCCCCTCCCACCCTTGTTGCGCTTTTTCACGCTGTTCAAGACTGGTGGTTTCCTTCCTGTTTGAGCATTCCACGGCAGTTCCAACACTTGGGGAGATGTTACCTTGTGCACCTTCCAGGCAATAGAGATTGGCCAAAGCATTTCATGTCTGCTTCAGCAGCACTCACAGGCTTTTTTGCGCACTCGTGAAAGTTATAACGCGCGGGGGCATGTTATCAATTTAGACTTGTTACAAAACATGGTGGCCTCGGCAAAAACCCGCCGAGAGTGTCCATATAATTGCTATTGCAATAATAATGCAGTTTTTTACTGCTAAATAAGTGTTTTGGGTTAGCTCTGTCTTCAGTCCCCCTTTTGTTTAATTTGTGCGTTTATTTCCCAAATTTTTGCACTGAACCTACATATGACGAAATCCTCTTTATAACTAAATTTTTCGGGAATTTATAAATTTCGTTATATCCAGGCTTAATGTGCTGCGAGGGGAAAAGTGTTCCTTGCTTCATGTTTTCTACCCACGCCGCTATTACACATGCTCAGAGGGGGTGAGGGAGCCCTGCTCGGTCGTTGATTGCGCCAATGACTTATCACAGACTTCGTGTCGCTTTGCCGAAGTGGTTGGAGTCGAGACGATAGGCTGCTCCTTCGTGGAGAGGGGTGGCGAGCGGCCGTGCAAAAGTTTGAAACCAGCTGAAACGGATGTTCTAACCCCTGTAACTTCCTTATTATAGCACATATTCAAAAAATTGTTACGGCAGCATGTTCACATAATAAAAGCGTGCATTAAAATCTTTGGACCTTGGGGTTGTTTACTGGCCCTTCAAATACTTGTACCATACTACTTTGAATCAACATATTTGCACAGCGCAAGACTACGAGTAGACTCTTTCTGTCCATTTCTCTTCTTCTGTAGTTATAACTACTCGTAGTCTTGCACTGTGCAAATATTTTGATTCCTAATCACCAACTAGCCCAAGCATCTGTCTTATCAAGATACTACTTTGAAGTCTTTAATGTGGCGCAAGAACGGCTCTCGTATGCTTGTAGTTTTCAGGCTTTCTGTTCAGTGACCGGCAGGGAATTCGACTCTCCGAGTGCTATGCAGTCGACTTGGACTCCAGCAATGGTCTTACAGGACCTTGCCCCTGTGTTGCTCGCTTTAAGGTAGGTGTCATTCATTTTTCTTGCCACCTATTGTCTTCACAGCTCTCTAGTTGTAATGGACTTTTTAAAACAGCATGGTGTGTAGGCAGGAAATTTTGAAGCAGTTTATATTGTTAACTTCGAGAAAAGTAGGCTTTTCAACTCTGATTCACTTTGTTTGACGGATATCGTGTTGTCGCCATCCTTCTCTTAGTGATAGGGTAGATTGAAAAGGCATATATTGTTTTTATGGTGTGTTGCCGTAAGACATTTGGTTTTAGTGTGGTGTTGAGGTTGACTGTTGCTGTTGGTTGCTTGCTTATGCCACGCAAAAAACTCAGTGTCCCTTGTGCATTTGCCTCAGATGACCTGATGGCTAAAGCCATCCGGTGTGGCTATTTTACCGTACAGTTTGTATTGATGCCCAATGTTTACTAACGAACTACTACTAATGTTAGTTTCACAAAGTGGCTTTTGCTAGTCAACACGGTACCTGCTAAACTTACTTTGGTTATCATATTGTAATTAACTTTCACTACCATAATTTACTCTCTACTCAGTTTGCTTTGATTATTGTCATATATATATGCCCAGTCACGCTTTTACTGTTTGGTTCTGCCTTCCCTAGAAGTCAGTCAGCCAAGTCACATAACTGCCTCTTTTTTTTTTTTTTGTTCTCCAAGCAGTCGGCACTTTTCTCGGAAGCTTTTCATGATGTCTGTTGTTCGAATGGGTTGCCGTCTTTATCTTCTTCTTTATTGGCTTATCTTCATGTTTTGCCCCTAAAACTGTGCAGCTCATGTGCCTGGAGCCACAAGGCGTGTGGTCGTTGTTTTGTGATTCAAGTGCTTTTTTTTATCACATGCTGGCTTTTTGCCACATGACTCTTTTTATGAGGCATATAAGGTCAAATATCTAGATATTTGGTTTCTGTGTAGCAATGTGGACTATTTGTTACATACAGGGCTAATATGGTGCTTATACTGCCTTTGCAGGCACCTGGACTGGAGTTTGTCGTTGTAAGCATTCTGCTGCGGTCACTGAAGGCGCATGACATTAGTCTCCTGTTCCCGAGTTTTGTTGCAGTTATTAGCCAGAAACTTCGTGGTATGTTACTTTTTTTTCCTGGTTGTAAATTACTGTATGGGAATGGGGGTATGCAAAGTGTTTGTTTTATGTATAGTTGATTTTAAATTTGGTGAGAGATTCAACTCAGTTACAATTGCAGAAAATAATGTTACAGATGCAGGAGCTACTTTCAGATTCCAAAGATCATAACTTGTACCTTTAGTCAAAGGTCACTTTGCTATAGATGTCCTTAACAAAGATATGTATGAGCTCAGAAATTGTAACAGAAACTATTTATAATGCATTCTTCACACCATGCTTGGTCTGTGCTCTGGAATAGATATGAGAGCAGAAGGGGTCAAAAGTTTCCAGGCCACTAATCCACGTATTCCTATGGTAGCATGGCCTGAGAACTTGACCCTTTCCTGTACATATTTGTAAAGTATATGCTTGTGTTTATTTATAACATTTTCATTCAACTGCTAAACTCAAGGGGCTTCAGTTGCACACTTGTTTTTTTTCTCTGTCTTTGCAACATGGCTGTGAAATTATTTTGCATAAGGAATGCGAAAGTGAATTGGGGTAGCTGCTCGTGGAGATTGTAAGGCAAGATTTTAGGGAACCTTGATGACATACAAGTGTCTGCAAATTCTCTGTGAACTTCTTTTTGATGACTACTTGCAGGTGAGGACAACATCCTTCTGATGGGAGATTTGCCACCTACTGAAAGTGGTGAGCTGTCACAAAATCATTTAGGTTCTGTTCTGTGGTATAGTCAGTTTACTGCTATTTTACTTCTAAAGTATGAATTGCCAGTGGGGTTTGTGATTCATCTGTAAGATTTATGGTGTCGTGTCTCAGATGAGGTTATTTTTTTAACAACGGAGCTGTTATAAGTCGAGCCTGCATCATCTGCATATGTCTGTAGTCACACAGGTCACGTCACCAAAAATGGAATGAGTGAAGAAAAAAATCACAGCATATCCACAGAGTGAGTTATGATGAGTGGAGGGAAGTGTCCGTCTGTCTGTGCGTCCATCCGTGTGTCCATCCATGCATCCATTTGTGCGTCCGTCTGCCTGTCCGTCTGTGCATCCGATTGCGTTCGAGAATGCAGACGGCGTGCGGGTAATATCGACAAGACGCGAGCCAAGGAAGCCGAGCGCAAGCGTCTCCAACGCACCCATCGCTCTGCTTCGTCCATGCCCCACCAACGATCTGCCACATATGGCAACGATCCAGGAGACTGAGGGAGGCACTCCTTCCTCGAGCAACCAGGCATAACCTGCGCAGCCGCCATTCAGAGAGCAGCGGTACAGCTCCATCTAGAATATTCATACTCAACTGCAGTTTGTATGTACTTCTATGAGACGGCGCCATCTATTGTACTGTTTGAGAGATACTGCCTTCCTTTTTTATTTCCCCGTCTCTTCTTATTCGATTATGCCACACGCAGGACAAAGTTAGACTAAGAGAAGCTTTGCCTTTAAAAAAATTAAACAAAATTATGGTGGTGATGAAGACTAAGCTCGAAATAAGACTAACTGTATTTAGTCTACCCTTTCATACACTTGCAAGCATGAGCTTTGTTATCCAACAGTTTTCACCGCGTGGAACTGTCTAAACTCTTTTTTTCCTTCAGGTCAGGAGACCTAAATTTATCATGGCATGTAGTGAAGCTTTTTGTTAATACAGATCTGTGGCATATCAACTTACTAGAATGCTTGTTATTTGTAAAATGATGTGTCATCTTACAGCTTCATTGGCTTCTTATAAGATATTTCATGTAACTTGTATTGATTAATTTGCCTAGTGTATTCTTTCAGTTATTTATGGTTTAAAGTTTTTGTAAAACTTTATTGCTTTCTTAGCACTGCTGCACATTGAAATTCCAGTTTCAATTATACTAGTACCCTGTACCATGTTTTTTACATTCATTAGAGCATATAGGTATTTCCTTGTAACTGAATGCAGCTGGGCCGGCACAGGCAGTGGAACTACCTCACCCTCTTCCCTAATTTCACCATCATGTCGTGCTCACCTTTATTTTCTAGGGAGCAGCATTAGTACTGGGCATTTTGGATGCAGATTTATACTTGTGGGTGTTTCAAAAAATGGTGTTCGAAATTATAAACATCTGGAAAATGTGATGTTTGCTCATTGCCTTCAGAATTACAGTAGACTCTCACTAAACCGAGATCTGTTAAATGGAACTACTACTTAAATGGAAGAATTGCCTCTGCGACATTTGTTTTCAGGCTTGTGTTCTGCACCGATGTTCACTTCTCAGTAAACACAACTCCTGTTAAATGGTATATATTTTCCCTGCTAAAGAAGTACAGTACAGAGTGTACTGTACTTCTTTAGCAGCAGGCAACTTAAGATGATTAAATAGATCATTTGAGATAGTAGTTAAGAAAGTTAACATAATTGACTTTTAGATTAGTTGAGTTGGACAGTTATGTCAAATAGGGAAATTGAAGTTCTTCATATGAAGAGTTTGATTCCCTCATTAATTATAACAATAAATAATGTAACTTTCTTAACTACTGTCCCAAATGTTTTTTTTAACCATATTAAGACACCTGCCACTAAAGAAGTAATTCTGAAGGCAGTCAGCTTATATTGCATTTTCCTGAATTTTGAGGATTTTCAACACATTTCTTGAAATACGGAGTATATCCCCTTCAAGCGCAGTGTGTACAATGTATGCGTCAACTGTAGAGGCTTGTCATTTACTATATGTTTCTTCAGTTGGCTTGAAACACAGCGTGAACCTTTGTACACACTATCTCAGTATAAAACTAGTGCCCATTTGACTTCATTGTGCTGCATATTACTGCAGAGTATTACTTTGCTGAAGACACTACCAGTTTGACGAGCCATTCGGGGTGCCCCATTCTGAGAGGAGCATTGCCCGTGCATATTGAGCCTGGGAATTGATTACATTTAAGTAAAGTGGAACATGTCTGACATGAAGACACAAAATTTTGAAGGCAATATAAGTTGAATAGATTTTTGTCAACACATATGCATCATCTACGAAATATCAATGGATAACATAGCCTAGAACGTATTTAAAGTAAATTTTAAAGGGCGTGTCGCACTACAATGCTCGAAACATGTTTTCGATTTTTGTGTAAACAACCAACCGCTACCTGTGTCACAACTTTGTGAGGGCAGCCATGATCCTTGCGAGTGGTATCTCCTAGCAGACATTTTCTATGGAAAGAGGGGACAAACTTGCACAAACATGCAAGGGCTGATGTTCTTGCCTTGACAGGGAATTTTCTGAGGGTTAAGCACATTTCCAATGTCTCAAAGGAGATTATCCCCTGTAGCAGTGATGGCTACATTTGTGTATGTAACTTGTTTGTGCTAGTTGTGTCAACTGGTGACCTAAAGAGAGCAAGATACATTGTTTATTAAATGAATTGAACCTTCTCCATAGTCAATATTACTTGACTTAACCTCTGTGGTGCATATGACTGTACCTAATCACTTGCATGAAGGCACTACGATGTTCGACAGGTCGTTTGACGTGCCTCATTTCAAAACCAAAGTTGAAAGTACTACTTTTATTTTCTTGAAATGAAAAGCAAGCAAAAGCAAATCGCAGACACATTCGGATTCTGTGACTGCATTATTTTTATGTCAAAATGAAACATGACTGACTGCAGGATGATGAAGTTTTGGTTACATCTCAAGTAAATTAATTGCTGAAAATGACACAAACCAGCACATCACTTTATTTCTTGGAATGTGACATTGAGTACCTTGGAATTATGTTATGTGAATCTGACACGTCATCTGCCATGGTGGATCAGGGGCTAAAGTGCTTGCTGTTGACACCAAGGTCATGGGCTTGATCCTGGCCCGGCTGTCGCATTTTGATAGGAGTTAAAGGTAGAGGCCCGTGTAATGTGCGATGTTAGTGCTTGCTAAAGAACACCAGATGGTCGAAATTTCCGGAGCTCTTCACTACGGCAGCTCTCATAGTCATATTGTGATTTCGGGACGTAAAACTTCAGATTTTATTGTAATGAATTTGACACATTTATAGGCACTGCATCATAATTTGCATGTAGTAGTAGTAGTAGTAGTACTTTTATTTACAGTAAGCCGGATATAGAGCTCACTGCAGGGGCAAAGGGCTAAAGGCGAACAGCCTGACAAAGGCCCTTGTCCCTCCGCAGTCCGTGACAGTGCAAAGCTTAGACATCAGCACTGACAAACAATATATATTCAATACATTGGTTTCAAGCAACCTGCAATTGTAAACACAATATTCAAACATAAATAGCATAAGAAGTTTACATAACACATTTTAAGAATTAGAGGTCACTCTCGTAAAAATTCACAACTAAACGATATCAATGAAACAACTCAAAAACAGACACAAAATGCATGCGGATACAATGAATTGCGCTGTATACACTCGTATAATTGACATAGAAGTTTATGAACAATTTAAGCATTTGCAGAGGCATGAGACTCCATTACGTAGTTTCGATAGTGTAGACCGGTGGTTATGAATAAGTTCTTTATTTGTTTCTTGAAAGTCACACTACTAGCCCTAAAGTTCAATTGATCTGCAAGGGCATTTAAAACCTGAGGTACCTGGTAAGCAATACTTTGTTTTCCATACTTGGTTCTTGTTCTAGGAGCTCGTTTCTTTTGTTCTCGCAGACTGTAGTGTGGTCTTTCGGTGCAACTTTCTTCATATAGCTTAGTCTTTTGTATTAACTGAAACAATTTAAAATGATATAATTGATCAATTCTGAGTATGGAATGTTTAATGAATAGTGGAGCAGTGCGCAAGTCTTGTAGATTCCCCCTGTATTTTTCAAAGCAGTGCAATATTTTCTTTTGTATAGTTATTAACTTATGGTAATTCCCTTGTGATGTCGTTCCCCAGACTAACATCCCATAACTTACTTTAGAATGGAAGAGTGCATAGTACATACTTATTTTTAACCTCAATGGGATTAAGTGCATTGTTCTAAAAAACAACCAACTATTCGCGCTAATGCGGTGATCAGATGATTTACATGTGTGTTCCAGTTTAATTCCTCCTGAAACCATACACCAAGAAACTTTTGTTCCCTAACATGTGCGATGAAATTTCCTTCGAATTTTACAGCTATGTTACTAATAGGTTTGTTTATAGGTCGGAATATCATATAGGTTGTTTTTTTTTGCATTCAAGCGCAGTCCATTTTGCCTTAACCAATTTGAAAGATTGCTTAGGTAATTATTTACACTGACCTCAAGTTATAATAAATTGTCTGATGAAAAGAAAACATTCGTATTGTCAGCGTACAGTATAAGTTCAGGAGAATGAGGTATATCGACAATATCATTTATATAGGCAAGGAACAATAATGGCCCCAGTATAGACCCTTGGGGGACTCCTTGGTTCAATTTTATCTTTGCAGAAATAGTGTTATTCATTTGTACATATTGATAACGATCTTCTAGGTAGCTTTTAAACAGTTGTAATGCAACTCCATGCACCCCATAACTTGATAATTTATGAATCAATGATTTGAATTGTATGGAGTCAAATGCCTTTTGAAGATCGAGGAAGAGCCCAAGAGTATATTTTTTGTTTTCCATATTTTCGATTATCTTATCTTTGATATACAGTAGAGCTTGTTCTGTTGATTTATTTTTTTGAAAACCATACTGACTTTTTGTTATTATTTGGTGCTTATCAAAAAAAGATGCAAGTCTATCATAAATAACCCCTTCAAATATTTTTGATATTGTTGGAAGCACGGGTATAGGTCGATATTTCGCTAAAGTATTGATATCACCACCTTTATGCACTGCAGTGACTTTTGCCACTTTTAACTGCTCTGGAAATACATCGTTAGTGAGGGTGAGGTTGATAATATAGGCCAAGACATTAGATATCAATGGTAACACCATTTAAACTCAACAGAACGTATCTCATCAATCCCTGATGCAACATTGTTTTTAAGTTTTCTGATTAATCTTTCTACTTCAACCGGATCTGTGGGTGCGAGAAAAATAGAATACGGCAAAGGAGACTTATCAGGAGTTGGAGCATTATCTCGCTTTTCATCCGTTAAAATAAAGGAACCCGCATTCATGAAATGTTCATTCATAACATTGGCCAACCTTTCACCACTGAAAATCTGACCATTAATTGTTAGGTCCTGTGTCCTATTACAACCCTTATTTCTGTTCGTAAGCCCATTTATGACCTCCCATAGCTTCCTCTGGTCATTGTAAATGCTTTCAAATAATTTTTCATAGTAGTTCTGTTTAGCCTTCCGTATTTCTGAATTTAAAACGTTTCTGTATTTCTTGTACTCAGCTAAGGCGTCTGTGTTCCGCGAACGGATGAAATCATGATACAATTTATTCTTTATTTTTATGCGCCGGTAAAGATCACGATTTATCCAAGGCTTTCTGCATTTCTTATTTCTGCCACGTGAGCGCTTCTAAAGTGGAAATGCCGCATCATAGCTAGCACTCAATAACGTCATGAATGTGTTATAAGCATCATCAGGATTTTCTTGTCTATAAACAGTGTTCCAATCTATGTTCTGAACTAGCTGAAAAAAATGTTCCCGAGTTTTGCTGTTTTTAATTCGGTGGAAAGATGTCTCTGTTTTCTGACCAATTTGAGAAGTAACTCGTGCAAGAAAGAAGATGGGCATATGATCACTTATGTCATACGCAAATACCCCGGATTTTATATTCTGTGAACTTAAATTTGAGGCGCATATATCAAGGAGCGTAGCACTTGTTGATGTAATCCTAGTAGGTGAACGTATAAAATTTGTACTTCCATATGTAAGTAAGAGCATTTCAAAATCTTTGGCATAAGGATCATTGGAACAGAGGTCAATGTTTATGTCACCCATGACTATGCAAGGAGTATTCCCGCGAACAGTGGATAACACAACATTAAGAAACTCAATAAATTTCTTTTTGTGGCCATGTGGTGGCCTATATACACCATGTGAAGGAGTTATATAGCAGCATCCAGGAAGCCTTCGTTAAAAAGTGTTGTCAACGTGGTGCTCATGTGCATGTGGTTTGTGGGGTCACGTAGCCAGCTATCTTTACCTGAAAACCACTCTGGGTTCCGCTGTACGTGGTGCTCTCTGAAATCAACACTGCGACTGGGGGCTATAAAAATATCTCCAAATTACTAATCATTGTGTGCTCAAGCAAACGAGCTTTACAGCTGTGATAAGTAGGTCATTAGCTACCTATTGCAATAGAAAAAATAAAACGCAAAACATTTGGGTCAGTGCTTGGTTGAAAATAAATAGATATTTAATTATACACTAATTAAGACTTCTGAAAAGTGCACACACCAGCATATTACCACTTTCTATTTCTTGCAGCAGAGTATCAAGCACCTTGAAATAAAGTTGCATATATTTCACATATTTATGGACAGACCATTAAAATTTTCATTTAAAGGGGGTATTGTACCATCTGCTAATATATGAAGCATTGGGATCAAAAGCATTTATGGTGTGCGTTTTTCAGCTGTACGCATGCTTTCGGATATGGGATTTCATCTGTTATGGCCAAGCAAGTTAAAGCCACATGACACAACACAGATCTGGTGCTCCAGCAAGCTGCGCAAGTTCTGCACAGGTATGGCAGAGAATATCTGGTTTGCATCTACTACATTCTGTCCTGCTGATGCATGTCACTTGCTTTAGGAGAACCTGTTGCAAGAATGATGCATATTGTTAATTGTTAAACCTTGATATAACTTACTTTATCAGTTAAATGCATATATTTATTGGAAAGGAAAGCCTAAGCGGTTAACTAAAACTGCTGTGTTTCCACAATTTATGCTGAAGAAAGCTGTAATCGATTTGCTGAAAAAAAAAAGACTAATTATTAGCAAGAATAATACAAAATAACAGATGGTTTTGCAGTGTATAAAAGTGTTCGTGGTGAGTGCAGTGCTACTGCAACTGCTCTTGGATTTAAGCGAGTTGCCAATTTTTCTAAGCTGCTCTCACTTAGGCCCAGTGCCACTACCTTGTCTATCAAACCACATCAGTGTTCTCTGATAAAGGCAAGTTATGAATCTTCTTTTAAACAATGCATAATGGCAACAGTTATTAGTGATGAAGAACCACATCAATTAGTTTTTTGGTGTGACGCGCATGCCACCGCAGGAAATGTGGTGGCTGTGAACAATGTGTCATAATTCTGATTTAAGCGCAACTGTACCGGCGTCTGACCAGCTTTGATACTGTGTTCATTTAGCTTTGGTCAGAGCAGCTGCTTTGGTCGTAGCATTCTTTCTTCTGTTACTCTGGGCAACAACTAAGGTTATGCTGATTAGCTATGTTAAAGGCATTTAAAACAACATGCTAGCACTTGTGAACAAAGCTCGCATACAGAGGCCAAAAATTCTTTCTTTTATTTGTTTTTATCATGGTTAGCGTGTTGTTTCAATTTTCATGTCGGTTCCTGACCAAACGGTTTTTTTGTCCAACTATCGATTTTATAAGCAATGGTGGTGGAACAGACATGAAAGCCTTTCTTACCACTGATCATTGCACTGCATTAGACCTGTGTTTTTTTAAATCTTGCTTGTGTAGTAGAGCCACTGTGAAGAAAAATTTATTACCATGGCATCAATCCATTAATGTAATCGCCATGCAGCTCTGAAGATCACGGAAACTTTTATATTTTCTTGTTATTGAAGTAGGTTTTTCTAACTGCTTTTTTAGTATTTCAACATTTTTGCTACCTCTACTGTGTAAAAAAAAGATCCATTGGCAGCTGGGCTTTGCATAAAGTATTGAATTTTATTGTAGTGAAGCAAAATGCATTTTCACTTCATTCTCGAGCATAGACTGCTTGAAACAATAGGTTTTTGGCATTTTGTCCATCTGCACTACAAGCGGTATTGCGCAATAACCAGCTCAAAATTATTTGAAGCCTGTGCAAGTACAAAATATGTAGCCAAAGCAGCCCCCATGTATCTGAGAATGAATGAAATAACTTTATTACGAGATCCGGCTAGTTGCTGGTCCAGGTCAGACCTGGCCTCCCTGGCCTGCTGGATAGCCCAGGTTTTGTTTTCTAAATTGGAGCTGAGCAGCATTGTATGCCATCGCTCCCAGGGAGGTTCTGGGAAGTCTGTTTGCTTCTTGGGACGTCCCCAGAGCATGTGGCTAAGGCATAACTAGGCATACCCACTCATGAGTACACTCACTCACACTCACTCATACTCATTTAAACGTGGTGAGTGTGAGTATGAGCAAGTGTTCATGATTGGGAGTAGGAGTGAGTATGAACATGAGTGAGTGTGAGTAGAAGTGAGTATGGACATGAGCGAGTACTCATGAGTGTGAGTAGCATTGAGCACGGTGTCGCAATGAATGTTTTTTGTTCCAGTTTTCGTTTCGTTCCACGGACAAAAGTTTCAGTTAGTTTCTGTTTCGGAATGAAGAAAAAAATATTTCTTAACGGTTTGTAATGGTTTATCAATAATAAAAACTTACAAATACTTACTATTCAAAGTATTTACTCAAGAATAAAAAGTAAACTAACAAACAAAAATGTGTTAATAAGTGTTGGGTTTTACGTCAGAAAGCCACAATATGATTATGAAGGAAGCCACAAGAAATTTTCAAGCAAGGCTACGACAAAAAGAAACTTGATATTTAGTTTTCCAGAAGTTTCAATCCCAAAGTTTTGTGAAGAGGATGCATACGATTTCAGAAGTAGCAGTTCATCGAGTGTACTTTCCGATAAGTGAGACTGCTGCTCTGACAAAACAAATTTCAATGCCGAAAATGCCTTCTTCACGCTGACTTGTGTGGCTGGCACACCAAGGGCCACTTGTGCTAACATGTATAGCTCCAGCTGCCGCTCCTCGTACTCGTCCCGAAATGTCATCACATTCGTGATTCTTGGAATGTGCGGCTCCTCGTCCAGCATTTCCAGTCAGCGTGCGATGTCCGCTGATCCTGGCTCACTTGTTAAATGCGATCGAGCACCAACTACAGCTTTGTTCGTTTTCGAAAATGCTTCGACAGTATCTTCTGGTTCCTCTGAAGTTGGCACAGTGGTGCTCTCTGGAATGCAGCTTCTACACTGATTCTGTTGAAGGCCTGTGTTGCGCTTCCAGGTTTTGCACAGGTGCATTCTCTCTCTATATTTTTGATCGGGTTATAGTGGTTAATTTTCTCAAGAGTGAATTAGAAATTTGTAGAGCAGGCTGAATGCTTTGTGTCAAGAGTGCGAGCATGATCTCAGAAGGAGCCCGTCATCTGATATGCGCGACCGCTGTTCTGATCAAGCAAAAAGCAGACTGCAGCGCCGATAATGCTTTTTTCACGAGGGCCTGTGTAAGAGATACACAAAAGTCTACTTGTAATGATACAAACAGCTCTGGTTGTGACTTCTTTAGCTTTCCGCAAGATTTCATGATCTTTACTTTGGGATATCTGTCCGAGATGCTTATTCTGTACGCTGAGTTATGTCTTGATGCTCACACTGCATGACCTCGGTTTTTCTATTTCTCCAAGTGTTCCCGTGAACCAAATGGCGATAAAAAATATTTCGTCGGAACGAAATAATAATTAACGTTCCGGTCAAAAATATTGTTTTTTTTTTTTTTCGTTTTCGATTTTCGTTTCGTTTGTACACTCTGGCAGTGAGTACAGCCGACGTGCAATTTCTCGGAAGCCCGAAATTATGGATATGCCTGATTTCCCGGACTCATCTATGGCTCCGTCAAGTTCCTCTTAGAGTCACTGTATTAAAAAGTCCAATATTCCAGACGTTTATAGCTTTTGCCATCCGATTTTCCGGATTTTTTACTGCTAACCGCAGCCTCGAAATCACTATCAACGCTGCCATTTTGATTGTTCTCGTACCCTCAAACCCACCGCGCCGTGGCTGCCATACTCTCGAAACCACAATGCCGCCATCTAGCGCACACCACTCCGTTGCTAGCCGTAGCTTAGTCAAACCTGTGGCCATGGCCATACCACAGCCGCATGGTTCTGTGCAGCCTGTGCTCTTGTCCTCCGACAGCAGAAAAAGCTGCGCTGTTGATCTATGGTCTGCCGTCGGCATACTTGCAGACTCGTCGAAGGCGGTTACGCAACAGACCCTACAAAACTGTTTTCTCCACGCGAGCTTCCTACTGAATGCCGAGGTCTCGCCCGGAGTGGACAGCATGTGCGACGAACTTTTACTCGCAGACATGGCCTTCGCTGATCTGCACGCTGCCGGTGTTTCGATTACAGCCGGGATAACCTTTGAGGGCTTTGCCGACGCTGACGAATACCTCGAGCTGTGTGCACAATTGACCGATGAAATGATTCAAGTTACTTTCCACGACTCTGACACCGATATAGAAGAGGCAGCGCCTACACAGCCAATGAGCTTGGAGTTGACACCAGCACAGACACTGTTATCGGGTTCACCATCGGTGTACAGCAACAGCATGATGTTAGCTGAAATTAAGGAAGACATCATCGTGGGCGAGTGGAATGCCGTGAAAACAAAATTAGCTGCTTTGGCGTGTCCCCCCCCCCCCTGCCTAAGTTTTTACAAATGCAGTAGCACCGGCCACATCGGATTTTTTTTCCATCTTTCTTTTTTTTTTTTAAATGTAAACGGCTCTTTTCAGAGCCCCTAAACAATGCATTTGCTGAATCGCAATGAGAATCCTGTACTCCTGCCGTGATTCTCTCCATCAGCAAAAAATACCTATTAAAAAAGTGTGTTTTCGCTTGCATTTGTTTTTCTGGATTGCCCGATTTTCTGGATGTTTTCCCCATCCCTTGAGGGTCCAGGATATCGGACCCAAACTGTATGAATGTACTCGAGTGAGTACTCCAAGTGGGAGTAGGACTGAGTATGAATGTGAGGTGGTTTCGATCACATGACATATGGCAAAGTTAGTATGATATTGTCACGGGGTCGGGACGTGGATGAAGGAAGCAGACTCCAAGTCGAAGAAGAAACTGTTTATTCGGGCCGAACTCGTGGCCATGCAAAAGGAAAGTAATACACTGGCACTGATAACGGCGCACAGAGCGTCGGCTGTTGACCAACTGACCAGCAGCAAAGCGTGTCAGCATTTATACACTAGCCATCAAACATTCTAGTGTTACCGCTAGCCGCGACCTAGATTCCAGAATAACCTCAAATGCTCATGAGGTGGGCGTAATCTCAACAAAATGATCTACTGCAGTCCTGAAGCTTCCTGAACACTGTAGACGTGGTTTGCGCTGAGAATCGTGTACAGCGTAACGGGGTGATAAGAAAATTTGAGGAAGGAACATCGCATTACCCCCTCTAAAACGGCATCGTCCCAGTGCTTTAACAGAAGATGAAAGTGCAATAATAATGCAAGAAAGTACAAATAATAAAGTATGATACAATAATAACAACAACAAAATACACTCTTTCAATTCGTTAACGTTCATGAAACGGCTTGAGTCGTGCGACATCGACGAATTCAGGTCGCTATCGGCGCCGTTGAGAGTTTGTAATGCTATCAGGGACAACCTCATAGTCGAGTAGACCCAGACGTCGCACTACTCTGTATGGTCCGAAGTACCGTCATAGAAGTTTTTCACTGAGTCCACGTCGGCATATCGGCATCTATA